CTACAATGGGACCGCTCGCGCGCGTCTACCACACCCGATTTGGCCTTTTCACCCGCCCAATACAACGTTTCGTGGCCCCATAGGGAGCTCCACCGAACCCCCCTAATGGGACCGCGCGCGTGCGTCCCCCACGCCTAATTTTGCAATTTCGCTCGCCCAATAAATGTTTCGTGGTAAAGAAACTCCACCAAATCACAATGGGACAGCCCGCATGCGTCCCCCAAGCGCAATGTGGTATTTTAGCTCGCCCAGTACAGCGCTTCCCCATAGGGAGCTCCACCGAAGCCCCCAATGGTACCGCCCACATGCGTCCCCCACGCCCAATTTTGCATTTCCACCAACCTTTTACAACGCTTCGCGGCCCCATAGGGAGCTCCACCGAAACCTCCAGTGGGACCGCCCGCATGCGTCCCACACGCCTTTTTTTTTTTTTTTTTTTTTTTTTTTTTGTTCTCCCCCCACCCAGTGCAGTGTTTCGTGGCTTCATAAGGAGCTTCACCGACGGCCCCAGTGCTACTGCCTGCATGCGCTCCCCCCCGCCCGGTGCAGCGCTGCGTGGCCCCATAGGGAACTTCACCGAAGAAGATATTCACAATTGCAGTACCCACAACTTCATATGGTTGGGCCCTTCGCACGGATAATTAGCAATTGCTGAATAGCGCAAGAGGTTGAAGACACATATTGAGTGCAAATCTTACGAGCTAGAGCCACATCTTGAAATCGAGTCCAATGGCATCGAATATGAAACCTCGCAACGCGAAGCCCTTCGACGAAACGGAAACCTAGGAACGAAACCGATTCCCAATCCACCCGCGGAAACGGATTCAGTATTCACGTTATGGTATCTACATTTTTACATTAATTTTAGTTTTGATTGCCCGGTATTCATCAACACTGGTTTCGGTATCCGTCAACACAAGTTTCGGTTTGATATTATCGGTGGCGCTTCCGGTATTACTTTCACAACCCATCGATATCGTCTCTTGAATATCAATGTTTAACAATTTCCGTGCCTACCGGCAAATTTTTCTTCAAATCTTCCTCCAAATATTCCACCAGAACTTCCGCTAGGTCCTCTGCGACATCTTCCGCCAAACTCATATTCCAAATCTTCCGCCAAATCTTCAACCAAACAAATATTCCGCTGGATTTTCCGCCACATCTTCCGCCAAATCTTCCTCCAAATATTCCGGCATATTGATCCTCCAAGTCTCCCGCGAAATCTTCCGGCAAATTTTCTGCTATTTCTTCCGCCAGGTCTTTCTCCAAATGTTCCGTCAAATCTTCCGCAAAATCTTCTTCTATATGTATCTTCCGCCAGATTGATCCTCCAAATCTCCCGCGACATCTTCCCGCAAATCTCCTGCCAAATGTTCCGCCAAATCTTCCGCCAGATTTTCAGCCAAATTTGCATTCCAAATCTTCCGCCAAAATCTTCCTCCAAATCTTCGGCAAAACATATTTTCCAAATTATCCGCCTGATCTTCCGCCAGATCTTCCGTCAAATCTTTCGCCAGACCTTCCGCCAGATCTTCCCCCAAATCTTCTTCCCTCAGATTTCCCCGCAGATCTTCACCCAAGCATTTCTCCAAATTTATCGCTTTGCAACCTCCGCCAGGGGGAGGAGGAGGAGGGGGAGAAGGAGGAGAAGGGAAAGGAAGAGGAAGAGGAGGTGGGGGAAGATAGCCGTGACCATCTTTAAAACTACGTTTTCGGCTACCACTCGCGCAATGACGGCAGGGCATGAAACACCATAAAGAATTGAACAACATTGACTTTAGAGGAAGTCCGCGAGACTGAAGCCGGGCATGCCCGTCTAGTATTTCTGAGCTCATTGTACATAGACGTATCTAAATATACACGTATACACATGTAAACATAAAACGGTTGCCGCGTACTCGCAGAGGCCACAATCGCATGATGGATCGACCTGATGACCTGAACCTGGCCCCAAGCAACCTCCAAGCCTCAGTTCGGCCAACACAACACACTGGCCATGGAGGTCATGCTACCTTTTCGAAGATCCCTCTCCTTCCCCTCCCCCTCGTGTCGGACTCTAGCCTCTGGTGTGTCTCTCTCTCTCTCTCTCTCCTCTACCCCTCGCGCCCCTCAGCGAATGACATGGTCGATCCCCTACGGGCGAATTCCAGTCCCCGCGCCGCGTGATCAGGCCCGGCCGCGCGCGTCTCTCCGCCCGACTTTCTCTGCTGCGACGCCAAGCGAGAGAGAGAGTGTGTGTATGTGTGCGTGCGTGCGTGCGTGCGTGCGTGTGTGTGTGTGTGTGTGTGTGTGTGTGTGTGTGTGTGTGTGTGTGCGTGTGCGTGCGTGCGTGCGTGCGTGCGTGCGTGCATACGTGCGTGTGTGTGTGTGTGTGTGTGTGTGTGTGTGTGTGTGTGTGTGCGTGCGTGCGTGTGTGTGTGTGTGTGTGTGTGTGTGTGTGTGTGTGCGTCCCCCAGTTGGCGCTGAGCACAGCAGGACAGCACTGGCGCAAACATTTGCCTGCCCTCTGGCGCGCGCCTCTGCACCAGTCAGCCTGCGGGCGGCGCGGTCGGCCCGCTGCTCGATCGCCCGAGCAGTCGACCGAGAGGGCATCGCTCGATCGACCTAGCGCACAAAGTCGGACCGACCCACCGCTCGACCTGCAGGGGCTGGCGGCGGCCGTGCGCGCTTGCGGCCCCCTCACTGCTTCGTCGGGCCGCCTCCCTTGCCGCCGCCGCCGCCGCCGGGGCTCCTCGCGGCACGTCGTGGGGTGTGTGTGTGTGGGTGGGGGGGGGACGCTGGCGACGTCGGCGCCCGACGCCCCGTCTGCTCTCCTCCCTCCCTGCCCCCTCAACGCCAGCTCCCTTCCCGCCCGCTCCCCCCCCCCTCCCCTTCCCGCCCCTTCCCGCCCCGCCCCCTCCATGCCCCCTTCCCGCCGCCCTCCCTGCCACCCTGTCCGCCCTTCCCCGCGTCGCGCCCCTCCCTTTGCCTCCCCCGCACCCCGCGTCCGCGGGGGGGGGGGGAGCCGCGCGCAGCGGCCCGCCCCTCCGGGCGCCGCCCGCGACGCCGCGACGCCGCGGCGGCCGCTGCAGCCCGCCGCGGGCTCGACGAGGTGGCCATACCGAGGCCGCGGGGGAAGCGGCGGCGGACAGCACGGAGGGGTGGGCCAACGCTGCCGCGGCGGCAGCTCCAGGAAAGCAACAAGCGGTGCTCCGCGAGCGTGACGGTGCCGTCGGCACGCCTCACGTGCCTGGCACTCCGGCGCCCCCCTGCGACGCCCTGGCCGGCGACCGCTGCAGGTCCGGTGCCGCCCGACGATGGAAAACCGCAGGTCAAACTGCGGGCTCGAGCCAATGCTGCTCCCTGCCGAGCCGAGGAGGAGCTGGATAAAGAAGCCGCTCGCACTTGACTGCTGCCTGCATCTGCAGCCGCGCGGCAGCTCGCGAGGGCGACTGCGAAGCGGGCGCCGTTGGGGTGTCGAGGTGGTCATCTCCATGGCGGTTGCGGACACGGACGTGGCTGGACGCTCCTATCTTCGAGCGTAGGTCAATCGCTGCCCATCGGAAGCGCAACTCCCACATCGTAGAACACTGCTTCTCAACCGTAGGCGTGAGGTATGGTACCTGTCCGAGTGGCCGCATCGCGTCAGGGCTACTGTTCCCCCACTGCGTCCACCCTTGCCGTTTCTTGCCCTCGAATGCCGCACTCCTCGGTGCGGCGCTGTCGTGGGGAGCGCCTCCGGAACCCCAGGCCTTGGATACCACCCGAGGCCCGACTTCTTCGAGCCCCCCCCCCGAACTCCCGACCCCGTTCCGAAGCACAGGCGGCTCACTCTGGGACGCTTCCGTGACGACCCCCAGAGACCAGGAGCAGCGAGGCCTCTTCGGCGTGGCCTTCTCGAGTCGGAAGGACAAGCGGTTCACTCTGGAACGCTTCCGTGACGACTCCCGTGAGACCAGGAGCAGCGAGGCCTCTTCGGCGTGGCCTTCTCGAGTCGGAAGGACAAGCGACTCAGCCTGGAACGTTTCCGCGACGACCCCCGTGAGACCAGGAGTCGCGAGGCCTCTCCGCCGTGGCCCGCTCGAGCTGGGGCTGGGCCCTGGCACCGCGTCGGCCGACCACTGCCTCTCGCGCTGCGCAGGGCCCGTGGGCCGCAGCGCCCGAGCCGCCGAAGGTCGAGCCCCGGGCCCTTCTTGGCGGCCCCCCCCGCAGCCCGAGACGGGCGACAAAGTCCCAGGCCGAACCTCTCGAGTCGAGGGACTGCCTGGGCGCCGCCTCTGTCGGCGGCGGTCGGCCAGGGCGCCAGTCCGGGCCTGCAGTTTGCAGAGCCACTGGCGCTGCGAGGATCTCGGCACTGGGGGAGGAGGAGGAGGAGGAGGAGGAGGAGGAGGAGGAGGAGGAGGAGGAGGAGAAGAAGGAGGAGGAGGACGAGGAGGAGGAAGCGGAGAAGGAGGGCAAAAACATCTCCTCCTCCTCCTCCTCCTCCTCCTTCTCCTCCTCCTCCTGATCTTCCTCCTTCTCCTCCTCGTCCTCCTGAGGCCTCCTCTGAGGCTCCAGGATTCTCTGGCCGCTGAAGCCATTAGAATTTCAGAAGCCCGGTCTCAACAGAGGGATCCAGGGCCTGAGCGGAGCTAACCTGCTGCGCTCTCCAACCACGTGCTGCTCCTCCTCCTCCTCCTCCTCCTCCTCCTCCTCCTCACCCTCCTCACCCTCCTCTCCTCAGGTCAGGGCGTCGCGAAAACATTGAGCCGCGCTCCGGCGACCCGCGTCGGGCCCCTCCGCGGGCCAGGCGGGCCCCGAGAAACGCCAGCAAGAGAGACTGGGGCGAGCGGCTCTGGTCGCGAAGCTCTCGCGCGGCGGTCGCGATACGCGCGCGGCGATGGACCCCCTCCTCATCATCCTCGTCCTCCTCCGCCTCCTCCGCCTTCCCCCTCCCCTCCTCCTCCATCCTCGGCTTCCCGTCTTTTTTTTCTTCGACTCTGCGTCAGCCCTCGATCGTCGGAATTGTTCCACGGATTTTTGGGACTCCTAGGGCCGTTTTTGGGCCCGGGGGCAGCAACAAGTGGTTCTGAGATGATCATCCGGCCCGTGTGCCGGATCTCGGTGGCCCGGGCCCCGCGAGTGCCCAGACCCTGGGCGACCGGGGGCCCACTCTCACGTCCGCCCGCCTGCGCGGGGCCTCCACAGACAACGCCGCGACCACGATCTGCTTCTGCGTCGCCGCTCACGGGGTTGGCGTCAATCCCTCGTCGCCTCGAACTCTGAGATCTTTTCATCGCTCGGTCAAAGCCCCTGCAGCATCTCGCGCATGGTTGCACAACACCGTGCGTATTCCTGCTGCCCGTGGACCTCACGTCATACGGGTGGCTGGTCCCTTCAGAGCGTGTTGAACGATCCCACAACAAGCTGTGCAGCCACGAAGGAAAGACATCTCAGACATAGTGGCGGCAGAACCCAGGAAACTCAGAACGCGTATCAAAGATCCAGCCCACGTCTGCAAGAGATGTGGCCGGCTCCGTCTCCGTCCGCAGTTTGTGCCCTCGTCTCCTCCTCCTCCTCCTCCTCCTCCTCCTCCTCCCCACCCTGCCTTTGATAAGGCGGAGACGTGATGAATCAGCCCCAGCAAGGGCCAGCAGAAGTGCAACACCTAGCAAGAGTCCCCCAAGAAGGTCCCAAGAGGCAGAAATCGTGGATTTCCATATGCCACTTTTCATATACGTACATGCTTTGGCATAACCGCCTTTTTGCATTTAGCGGCGTCCATGACGGCTCCAGGGGCTACCACCATCTCTCCAAGATGGCCCAATAAGACTTCAATACGGCCCAGGAGGCGCCCAAACTGAGTCAAGAAGGGCGCAAGAGGGCCCAACGGGAAACCCGAGAGGGGGAACACGAACTTACAAAAACTCGCCCCCAGGACCCCAAACGCGCCTCCACGAGGGTTCCTAGACAACCCCAGAAGTCCCCAAGGCGGCCCAAGAAGCGCCCAAGACGGCTCCAGAGGACCTCGACACGGCACAGGAGGCGTCCACAACGGGCCAAGAAGTCCGCAAGTGGGCACCCGCCCGAGCACGGCCCGAGTTGCTTCCCCAAAGCTCCAAGAACCCCCCTGATGCCCCCTTGACGCCCCTCCAGAAGGGGAAACAGTTCTTCTCCGGGAGAAAGGGTTCGTTCTCCGGGAAAAGGGCTCGTTCTCCGGGTGAGATGAAGCAAATGCCGGGTCGGTTAGTTTTCCAGGTAAGACCCTTACAGGTTTTCCCGCCTTCCCCAAACACCACAAACCAAACGCCAAAGACCAACCCCCAAACACCAACCCCTAAATACCACACACCAAGCACCAAACACCAAACACCACACACCACACACCAAACAACAAACACCAAACACCAAACACCAAACACCACACACCACACACCAAACACCACACACCAAACACCAAACACCAGACACCAAACACCAAACATCAAACACCAAGCGCCAAACGCAAAACACCAAACACCAAACACCAAGCACCAAGCACCAAGCACCAAACACCACACAACAAACACCAAACACCAAGCACCAAGCACCAAAGACCAAAGACCAAAGACCAAAGACCAAACACCAATCACAAAACACCAAATACCACACACCAAACACCACACACCAAGCACCAAACACCAAAGACCAAACACGAAACACCAAACGCCAAACACCACACACCAAACGCCAAACACTACAAACACCAAAAACCAAGCACCAAACACCGAACACCAAACACCAAACACCAAACACCAAAGCACCAAACACCTCCTCCTCCTCCTTCTCATGCCCCTCCTCCTCCTTCTCCTCCTTTTCCTCCACCCCCTCCTCCTCCTCCTCCTCGTTCTCCTTCTCCCCCTCCTCCTCCTCCTCCTCCTCTTTTTCCTCCTCCTCTCCTCATCCTGCTCCTCCTGCTCCCCCTCCCCCCCGTGGAACAAGCGAATTGGGCCACGTTGCGGCGCCCGAGATTTGTCGGCGCGCCAAATGGGAGCTCCGCGCCTCGAGTTTAACAGGGAGGAGCAAAAGGAGGCAGAGGAGGAGGACGACAACAACAACAACAACACCACCAACAACAACAACAACAACAACAACAACAACAACAACAACAACTACTACTACTACTACTGTTACTACTACGGCGACTACTACGACTACTACGACTACTACTAATACTACTACTACTACCGCTACTACTGCTACTACTACTACTACTACTATTACTACTACTACTAGTAGTAGTAGTAGTAGTAGTAGTAGTAGTAGTAGTAGTAGTAGTAGTAGTAGTACTACTACTACCACTACTACTACTACTACTACTACTACTGCTGCTACTACTACTACTAACCTACCTACTTACCTACCTCCCATCCCTCCCTCCCTCCCTCCCTGCCTGCCTGCCTGCCTGCCTGCCTGCCTGCCTACCTACCTAATTGCTGCTACTACCTACTACCATTACTGCTACTACTACCGCTACTGTTGGCACTGCCACTACTAATATTACTATCAATACTAAAACTACAGCAACAACAACAACACCTACTACTACTACTACTACTACTACTACTACTATTACTACTACTACTACTACTACTACTACTACCACAGCTGCTACTATTACTACTACTACTGCTACTCCTACTCCTACTCCTACTCCCACTCCTATTGCTACTACTACTACTACTACTACTACTACTACTACTACTACTACTACTACTACTACTACTACCTGCTACTACCTGCTACCCACTACTGCTACAACGACGACGACTACTACTGCTACGGTTGACCTACGACTACTACTACTACTACTTCTACTGCTACTATTACTTATACTACTACGGCTGCTACTACGAATGATAGTATAAATGCTACAACAACACCTGTTACTACTACGACTACTAGTGCTACTACTGCTACTACTCCTCCTCCTACTACTGCCTACTAGTACTACCACTCGTACTACTACTACTACTGGTGCTCCTGCTACTACTACTACTAGAACTGCTACTACTACTGCTGCTACTACTAACACGGCTGCTACTACTACTACTACTACTACTACTACTGCTATTACCGCAACTAAAATTACCATTGCCACTGCTACTGCTACTACTGCTACTACTACTACTACTACTACTGCTACGACTACTACTACTGCTGCTGCTACCACCATCACAACTAAAACTACTACTACTACCTCTACTGCGACCGCCGCTGCTACTACTGCTACAACTACTACTGCTACTGCTACTACTACCATCACTTCTTCGACTTCTACAACTATTGCTAATACTACTACCACCACGCCCGCTACTGCTTCTGCTATTACCACTGCCTCTACCACTACTACGATTGCTACTATTGCTACTACTATTACTACAACGACTAAGACTACACCACCGATGGCTAATTGTGCGGCTGCTACTACTACTGCTACAACTCCTACTACTAATCCGTCTACCACTACCCGTGCTACTGCTACCGCCACTACTACTGCTACTACTTCTCCTGCTGCTGCTGCTGCTACTACTACTACTGCTACTACTACTACCACTACTGCTACTACTACTACTACTACTACTGCTACTACTAGTACTACTACTACTCACACTACTACTGCTACTACTACTACTGCTGCTACTCCTGCTACTACCGCTGCTGCTACTACTACTCCTGGAACTACTACAACTACTAGAACAATGACGGCAACAACAACAATTACTACTACTACTACTACTACTACTACTACTACTACTACGACTACCACTACTACTACTACTACTACTACTACTACTACTACTACTACTACTACTACTACTACTACTACGACTACTGCTACTACTGCTGCGGTACTACTATGAATACCACTGCCACTGCTACCGCTACTGCAACTACTACTGCTACTACTACTACCACTACTACTACTACTACTACTACTACTACTGCTACTACTACTACTACTGCCAGTACTACTACTACTACTACTACTACTACTACTACTACTACTACTACTACGACTACTACTACGACCGCTACCACTACGACGGCTGCAACTTCAATTGGACGTGCTACTGCTGCTGCTACTACTACTACTACTACTACTACTACTACTACTACTACTACTACTACTACTACCACTACTACTGCTACTACTACCGCCACTACTACTACTACTACTACTACTGCTACTACAACTACTATTACTACCGCTACCACTAGCACTACCACTACAACTCTTACTACTACCACTCGTACTACTACTACTAATGTTACCACTACTGCTGCTACTCCTGCTGCTGTTGCGGCTACGGCTACTACCTAGTACTAGTACTTCTAGCAGGACTGCTGCTACTACGACTACTGCTACTTCTAGTTTGTCTACTGCTACATATCTTACTGATACTCAGACTTCTGCTCATACTACCGCAAGTACCGCTGCTACTGCTAAGGCTACTACTGCCACGAACTACTACGCACCAGCTGCTAGCTGCGATAAGCAGCGACTAGCAACAAACCGCTAACCATTCGTTACTAATCACGAATTATTAGCCACCAGCGGCTAGCTACTAACTTCTTTCTACTAGCTGACATTACTACGACTACCACTATTCCTACTCATGCTGCTACTACTACTACTACTACTACTACTACTACTACTACTACTACTACTACCCGCAATGCTGCGTCACTGCTACTACTACTACTACTGCTGCTGCTGCTACTGCTACTACTACTACTACCGCTACCGCTGCTACTACTACTACTACCACTACTACTACTACTACTACTACTACTACTACCACCACTACTACTACTACTACTACTACTACTACTACTACTACTACTACTACTACTACTACTACTACTAGCCACTGCTACTAGCACTACTCCTGCTGCTACCACAACTACTACTAGACTACTAGTAGCACTACTACTGCGACTACTACTACTACTACTACTACTACTACTACTACTACTACTACTACTACTACTACTACGACTACTACTACTACTACTACTACTACTACTACTACTACTACTACTACTACTACTACTACTACTACTACTACTACTACTACTACTACTACTACTACTACTACTACTACTACTACTACTACTACTACTACTACTACTACTACTACTACTACTACTACTACTACTACTACTACTACTACTACTACTACTACTACTACTACTACTACTACTACTACTACTACTACTACTACTACTACTACTACTACTAGGGTTTCGGGTTTAGGGTCTACCAGGCGTGGCCACGAGGACACCGTGACCGCGAGCCCACCTGCGGTGGCCGTCACTCCCACCCGCACGCCACCCCGCCATAAAGATCATCTCTCCCCTCGCTAGAACCGCATCGAATACAGCGTCGACGACGACGACGACGGCGACGAGTGATGTGCGATCCAGTTGGCACGCGAGTGCTCGCACGGGCGGGAAGAGTCGGGTCGGGCGGAAAGAGATTCTGCACGCATGCGCAGCGAAGGCTATTTTGTGGAGTGGGTGGATCGGCGAGCAACGGGAGGCACTTTGTATGGTAAAATACAAGAGATTCTGCACGCATGCGCAGGAAGTGTGATTTTTTGCAGCAGATGGAGCGGGCTTACACAAGATGGGCGCGCTTTGTGCTGTTAAAAAAGATTCTGCACAGGAGATGCTATTTTTTACAATAGATGGAGGGGGGTCGCGGCGGGGACTGGGCACTTTGTGTTGTAAGAAATAAAAGATTCTGCACGCATGCGCAGAAAATGTAATTTTTGCATGGGGTGGAGGCGGAACGCGACGGGGGTTGGGCACTTTGTGCTGAACAAATAAGAAATTCTGCACGCATGCGCAAGAAATGCTATTTTTTGCAGTAGATGGAGCCGGGTTGCATAACGGCCGCTTTTGTAGTAACTACGACTTAATGATTATAGGATTAGAAATTTAAGGTTTAGGATTTAGGGTGTTGCCCGCAAAGTGGTGTGGGCGCGCGCGCGCATCCCACCCCCGCGTCAAGATTGTTGGGGGTGGGATGCTGTGTGCGCGCTCGCGTTGCTTGTCCTCCCGCCCCAATCCTCCCGGGCTATTCTCTTTTAGGGCTTAGGGGCACAACGTGTCATCCCCCAGCCCCCACTCATGGGGGAGTCAACCACAACGGCGTCCTACCGATGAATGCGCATGCGCGACTCGAGCGATGTGCACCACGGCAGCCTGTATCCATCGTTGCGAAACGTGCGAGCGCCGTGGCGTCTCTGGCGGATTGAGCGCCGAGTCTGCTGGGGGCGTCCAGAGGCTCTCTCCAAAGTCAACGGACGTGCGAGTTCTTCCACGCCGCCCGAGGGGCGACTCGCGAGGCGCGTTGCCGTATTTATATCCCGCCCGGCTCCCCTGGACGCCTGCGGCGGCAGCTGCACCTCGCCGAGAAGTTCCGGGGGCGCCATGAATCGTCTGGTCCCGGGGGTGGTTTTCGTTCGGCCCCCGAGTTGAGAGCTCCGGCTCCGAGAGCCAGATAGCCATGCCATCGCTGGAGTTCCACACATGCTGCGCCACGCCGAGAGCTTCCAGGGGGCGGCCGCGATCGCGGTGAGTCTGGCGGGTGTCGGTATGTCGACGCGTGGAAGCGGTATCGCACAGTAAATGCGGGAGACTTGACACATGCGTGTGTGAATATCCAACGCAGCAGCGGTGGCGCAGCAGGTGTATGCAGCGGCGATCGTTTCCCGCAGACGTCAGTGGCCGCATGGCAGTGCAGTTTCATATACTCCGCGGGCGCACAGGCAGCGAGGCAGAATGCCGCCGCCTCACTCGCCCGGCGCGGTTCTCTGAATTCACTATGGAAGGCGCAGCTCTGACGCCGCTGGCTCCACTGCGCCACTACCGATGGCACGGTCTCCTGCATCGCCGCTGCTGGAGCTACTGCTGTGCTCCTGGCTGTCCACCGCGGCCTCGGAGTCAGACGAAGCAATGCTGTGCACCTCCTCAAAGTCAACTGCTCCGCTCTTCCCTGCCTCCTCCCACAGCCACTTGACGTGCTCCCTTAGCTGGCGCCTCTGCGTTCGGAGGCGACTCTTCTCCTCGAGGGGCTCGAGCCGCAGCTATCCCAGCCTGTTCCCTGCGACCTCCTGCGCCGCAAGCACGTCCGCCCTCAGATCTGCGATCTGCCGTTGGTGCTCGTGGCGCGCCATCGCCGCCTCTGCGTTCGCCGCAGCCGCCGCCTTGTGCATTGCTTTCCAGCTGTCCAAGTCTTCCGCCACCATTGCGGTCTGCTCCCGAGATGCCTGAGCCCGCTCGTCGCGCACAGAGTGGATGTACCGCGTGCCGCCCACGGTGTGGAACGCCCAGGGAATGGACAGAGGCTGCGGCGAACTGCTAGATGAAACCTGGGTCACGCGCTGAGTCTCCAGCGCCTCGCGCACCTTGGACAGAGGAGGCATGGCGTGAGAAAAGGAAAGTCGTAAGCACGACAGCGTGCGTGTGTATGATAGCGCTCGCCTTGGTACTCGGAGAGCCTCAATGGCAACGGAAACAACGCATGCGCAGATTTCGTAGCAGTCGATGCATTTCTCTACCAAGGCTGCCGCGCAATGCGCTTACTCGGTGACCTTGTCAGGTGAACGCGGAACGTTCGGCGCGCAGCGATAATGATACTGCTGCGCCGCGCGCGTCGCTGCGATGCATTGCCTTTGCGTCGCTTCTCAGTTGACAGAGTTGCTGCGTGGCCATCTCCAATGCATCGACTTCTCCGTCTTCTATCGGAAGCTGTGTGAGGAAGTTTCCTCTACGGCCCGCCTAGTAGTTCTGAAGCAGTCGCAATCGCCGAGGGGGCGGACGGGCGTCTGCAGAATGACGCGCGGAACCGCTGAACGCGGTCGACACGTGCTGCGCCTCGCCGAGGACTTCCAGGGGGCGGCCGCGATCGCGGGGGGCCTGGCGGGCGCCGGTAAGGCGCCGCGCGTGAGCGATGCGGTCTAGTCGTGGCGGGCCATGCAGCGACTGGATGCTCGACGCGTGCTGCGCCTCGCCGAGGACTTCCAGGGGGCGGCCGCGATCGCGAGGGGTCTGGCGGGCGTCGGCAGGGCGACGCGCGCAAGCGGGTTGGTATCGTAATTGCGGGAGATACGACGCATGCGTGTGGGAATATCCAACGCAGCAGCGGTCGCGCAGCAGGTGTCTGCAGTGGTGATCGCTTCCCGCAGACGTCTGTCGCAGCAAGGCAGTGCAGTGTAATATACGCCGCGGGCACACAGGCAGCGAGGCAGAATGGCGCCGTCTCGCTCGCCCGTCCCGGGCGCGTCGAGCGTTCACAGTGGCCGCGGGTCAGTGTGCGGGAACGAAATGGCGTGGGTGCACGTCGCCGGCGATGAGGTACTGGTAATCGTACTCCACCCGCGACATGGCGACGTATGCAGCCGCGCGGCAGCCGGGGGCGTCCAGGTACACCGTTATGTGCTCCAGCGTCATGCCCTGGATGCGCTGCACCTTGCCGGCGTGCCCGATGCGCACGGGGTAGAAAGTTACCTTGTACTTGCCCACGGTCTCCGTCACGGGGAACACGGAGAGGCGCTTGCCGGTGGACGTGCGCACGCGCAGGCAGCGACTCCCAGAGTCGTACTCCTCCACGGCGGCCTGCATCCCGTTGACGAAGTCGTCCCGCTTGTTGAGGTTCTTGGTCAGGAAGACCCGCATCCCGGCGTAGACAGGAGTGCGCTCCGCGACGGGGGCGCGGTCGGAGACGACGTCGCCGTCGTCGTCGAAGTTCTCCATGTTCGTGTCCCAGTCGAACGGGAGGTCCGCCAGCTTAGTCTTGTTCCTGTCCACGAACAGGACCTGCAGCGCCAGGGCGTTCACGATGGCGGCGCCTCTCCTGGTGCAGGTGGCGATGGTCGTCTTCTCCTCGGTCTTGCGCATCAGCTCCAGCACGTCCCAGGCGGTCGGTTCCTGAGTCTTCCACGCCCTGTGCGCCTCGCTGCATATCGCGCGGAAGACCTTCTTGCTGGGCACGGAGGTCCGGAGCACCGCCAGCTTGTCTCCGAGTTTTTCGTCCTTGCAGCGGAAGACTTGGTGGAACTCGATGGGGCAGGCCCACGTCCCCCAGCCAGCGCTGTCCACGACGTTCGAAGGCGGCTTCTGTGGTCCGGGCAGCTGCCAGAAGTCACCCAGGCACACCATGCACACCTGCCTGTCCGCCGCGAGCCACATGGCGACGAGTCTGTCCCGGGCGCTCAACGGGATCGTCGTCTCCGTCCCGGGGCTCCTTGGGAGCGCTCAAGGGAGTCGTCGTGGTCGTTGTCGTTGTCGTCGTCGTCGTCGTCATCGTCGTCGTCGTCGTCCCGGGGTGTCGGGAGCGCTCGAGGGGGTCGTCGAATCGTCGTCGTCCTTGAACTCTCGGGAGCGCTCAAGGGGATCGTCGTCGTCGTCGTCGCCGTCCCGGGACTCTGTGGGAGCGCTCAAGGGAGTCGTCGTGGTCGTCGTCGTCGTCGTCGTCGTCCCCGGGGCGCTTGAAAGCGCTCAAGGGGATCGTCGTGGTCGTCGTCGTCGTCGTCGTCGTCCTGGGGCTCCTTGGGAGCGCTCCAAAAGTCGTCGTGGTCGTCGTCGTCGTCGTCCTTGGGCCTGTGGGAGCGCTCAAGGGGATCGTCGTCGTCGTCGTCGTCGTCGTCGTCCGGGGGTGCCTCGGGAGCGCTCAAGGGAGTCGACGTGGTTGTCGTCGTCGTCGTCGCCGTCGTCCTTGGGCTCCTTGGGACCGCTCGAGGGAGTCGTCGTGGCCCGGGGCTCCTTGGGAGCGCTCAAGGGAATCCTCGTGAATGTCGTCGTCGTCGTCGTCTTCGTCGTCCTTGGGGCCCTTGGGAGCGCTCAAGGGGATCGTCGTGCTCGTCGTCGTCGTCGTCGTCGTCCCGGGTCTCCTTGGGAGCGCTCGAGGGGGTCGTCGTAGTCGTCGTCGTCGTCGCCGTTGTCCTTGGGCGCGTGGGAGCGCTCAGGGGGATCGTCGTCGTCGTCGTCGTCCCGGGGTTCCGTGGGATCGTCGTCCTTGGGCCCTTGGGAGCGCTCAAGGGGATCCTCGTCTCCGTCCCGGGGCTCCTTGGGAGCGCTCAAGGGAGCCGTCGTAGTCGTCGTCGTCGTCGTCGTCGTCGGTCGTCGTCGTCGTCGCCCTTGCTCCCTTGCAACACTCGAAGGAGCCGTCGTCGTCGTCGTCGTCGTCGTCGTCGTCGTCGTCGTCGTCCTTGCTCCCTTGCAGCACTCGAGGGAACCGTCGTCGTCGTCGTCGTCGTCGTCGTCGTCGTCGTCCTTGCTCCCTTGCAGTACTCGAAGGAGTCGTCGTCGTCGTCGTCGTCGTCGTCGTCCTCCTCCCTTGCAGCACTCGAGGGAGCCGTCGTCGTCGTCGTCGTCGTCGTCGTCGTCGTCGTCGTCGTCGTCCTTGCTCCCTTGCAGCACTCGAGGGAGCCGTCGTCGTCGTCGTCGTCGTCGTCGTCGTCGTCCTGGGGCTCCTTGGGAGCGCTCCAAGAGTCGTCGTGGTCGTCGTCGTCGTCGTCCTTGGGCCTGTGGGAGCGCTCAAGGGGATCGTCGTCGTCGTCGTCGTCCGGGGGTGCTTTGGGAGCGCTCAAGGGAGTCGACGTGGTTGTCGTCGTCGTCGTCGCCGTCGTCCTTGGGCTCCTTGGGACCGCTCGAGGGAGTCGTCGTGGCCCGGGGCTCCTTGGGAACCCTCAAGGGAATCCTCGTGGGTGTCGTCGTCGTCGTCTTCGTCGTCCTCGGGGCCCTTGGGAGCGCTCAAAGGGATCGTCGTGCCCCCGAGTGCTGCAAGGGAGGACGACGACGACGACGAGGACGACGACGACGACGACTCCCTCGAGCAGTGCAAGGGAGCAAGGACGACGACGACGACGACGACCACCACCACGGCTCCCTCGAGTGCTGCAAGGGAGCAAGGACGACGACGACGACGACGACGACGACGACGACGACGGCTCCCTCGAGTGCTGCAAGGGAGCAAGGGCGACGACGACGACGACTCCCTTGGGGGCGCTCAAGCTCCCTCGAGTGCTGCAAGGGAGGACGACGACGACGACGACGACGACGACGACGGTTCCCTCGAGTACTGCAAGGGAGCAAGGACGACGACGACGACCACCACCACCATAGCTCCCTCGAGTTCTGCAAGGGAGCAAGGACGACGACGACGACGACGACGACGACGACGGCTCCCTCGAGTGCTGCAAGGGAGCAAGGGGTACGACGACGACGACTCCCTTGGGGGCGCTCCAGGGAATCGTCGTGGTCTCGTCGTCTGCGTCGTCCCTGAGATCCTTGCGAGCGCTCGACAGAGTCGTCGTGGTGGTGGTCGTCGTCGTCGTCGTCGTCGTCTTCTCTTGGCCGCTCTCCCTTGCAGCGCTCGAGGGGCCCGTGGTCGTCGTCGTCGTCGTCGTCGTCGTCGTCGTCGTCGTTATCCTGCTTGCTCTCTGCAGCACTCCAGGGAGCCGTTCTCGTCGTCATCGTCGTGCTCGGGCTCGTGCTCGGGCTCGGGCTTAAGCTCCGGCTTGGGCTGGGGCAGCTCGGGCTCGGGCTCGAGCTTGAGCTTCGGGGTCAGGCTCGGGCTCTGGCTCGGGCTCGGGCTTGGGCTCTGGGTCGGGCCCAGGTTCGGGCTCGGGCTCGGGCTAAGGCTCAGGCTCGGGCTCGGACTCCGGCTCGGGCTCGGACTCGGGCTCAGGCGTGGACTCGGGCTCAAGCTCTGGCTTGGGCTCGGGCTCGGGCGAGGGCTCGGGCCCGGGCTCGGGCGCGGGCTCGGGCTCGTGCTCGGGCTGAGGCTCCGGCTCGGGCTCCGGCTTGGGCTCGGGCTCGGGCTCGCGCTCCCGCTTGACTCGGGCTGGGGCTTGAACTCGGGTTCGGGCTTGGACGCAATGCTAGCGCAGAGTAGCAAGGTTGACGCAACGCTAGCCCCAGGCGAGTGCAAGGCTGACGTATGGCTAACGCAACGCTAACGCAAGGCTGACGCAATGCTAACGCAAAGCTCATGCGAGGAAAACGCAAGGCGAACGCAACGCTAACGCAACGGTAGCGTGAGGCTAAGGCAGCGCTAACGCAAGGCAAACGCAAGTCTAACGCAAAGATAGCGCAAACGTAACGCACGGGAGACACGGGAGACACGGAAGACACGGGAGACACGAATGAGACAGAGGATACGGGAGACACAAGAGACACGAAAAACACGGGAGACACGGGAGACACGGGAGAAACGGGAGACACGGGAGCCACGGGAGACACGGGAGCCACGGGAGACACGGGAGCCACGGCAGACACAGGAGCCACGGGAGACACGGGAGACACGGGAGACACGGGAGACACGGGGGACCAGGGGAGACACGGGAGACACGGGAGCCACGGGAGACACGGGAGACACGAGACACGAGAGACACGAGAGACACGAGAGACACGGGAGACACGGGAGACACGGGAGACACGGGAGACACGGGAGACATGGGAGACATGGGAGACACGGGAGACACGGGAGACACGGGAGACACGGGAGCCACGGGAGACACGGGACAAACGGGAGACACGGGAGCCACGGCAGACACAGGAGCCACGGGAGACACGGGAGACGGGAGACACGGGAGACACGGGAGACCAGGGGAGACACGGGAGACACGGGAGCCACGGGAGACACGGGAGACACGAAAGACACGAGAGACACGGGAGACACGGGAAACACGAGAGACACGGGAGACACGGGAGGCACGGGAGACACGAGAGACACGGGAGACACAGGACAAACGGGAGACACGGGAGACACGGGAGACACGGGAAACACGGGAGACACGGGAGACACGGGAAACACGGGAAACAGACACGGGAGGCACGGGAGGCACGGGAGACAAATGAGACACGAGAGACACGGGCGACACGGGAGACACGAGAGACACGGAAGACACGGGAGACACGAAAAACACAGGAGACACACACACGGGAGACACGGGAAACACGGGAGACACGGAAGACACGGGAGACAAGGAAGACACGAGAGACCCGGGAGACACGGGAGACACGAGAGACACGGGAGCCACGGAAGACACGGGAGACACGGGAGACACGGGAGACACGGGAGACACGGGAGACACGGGAGACACGGGAAACACGGGAGACACGGGAAGCACGGGAGGCACGGGAGACACGGGAGACACGGGAGGCACGGGAGACACGGGAGACGCGGGAGCCACGGGGGACACGGGAGACACGGGAGACACGGGAGACACGGGAAACACGAGAGACACGGGAGACACGGGAGGCACGGGAGACACGAGAGAGCAGCGGGCCGTACCGACACCCAGAAAAGCTCGAAACGAGCATTCTGAGAAAGGAACGAGCCGAAACGACACCCAGGGCAGCTCGAAACACACACTCGGAGGCAAAGGCGGGCCAAACCGACACCCAGCGGAGCTCGACCCGAACCCTCCCTGGGAGCAGAAATTCTGAATTTCCAGAGCTCCGAGGCTCTGCGCGGGTTTACGCTCGGGGAACGCGTCTGCAAACGCGTGGAAACCTCTCTGTCAGCGCCTGGAAACCACTCTTGGGGATATGGTGGGTTCACTACCCTGGGGCGGATGCTCTGGCGGCTCCTTCGCGCACGATGCCCCAGAGGATCGTGCAGGGGATGGTGCGCCGCCCGAACGATCCCCCAGAGGATCGTGCAGGCGAACAATCCCCCATAGGATCGTGCGGGGGGTGGTGCGTTGCCCGCACGATCCCCCAGAGGATCGTGCGGGGAGTGGTGCGCCGCCCGAACGATCCCCCAGAGGATCGTGCGGGGGGTGGTGCGCCGCCCGAACGATCCCCCAGAGGATCGTGCAGGGGGTGGTGCGCCGCCCGAACGATCCCCCATAGGATCGTGCGGGGGGTGGTGCGCCGCCCGAACGATCCCCCAGAGGATCGTGCGGGGGGTGGTGCGCCGCCCGAACGATCCCCCAGGGGATCGTGCGGGGGGTGGTGCGCCGTCCGAACGATCCCCCAAAAGATCGTGCGGGGGATCGTGCGGGGGGTGGTGCGCCGTCCGCGCGATGCCCCAGAGGATCGTGCGGAAGGTGGTGCGCCGCCCGAACGATTCCCCAGAGGATCCTCTGGGGGATCATGCGGTCCCGCTGGCGTTGGGTTCCGGCTTTCGGGTTCTTCTTTGCTCCTACGGAGGTAGACGTCTGTCGCGTCGCCAGACAAGACGTCGCGTGTGGGCGGTCGAGCTTAACCTCTCCCTCTCCGTAGATTCGTCAGGCGCTCCACTGAACGTTCCGACCAAGGCTCGTATGCGTCTGGGGCATCCTGACAGCGACGCATACTCGAGTTTAGGTACTACTACTGCTACTACTACCACTACTAATACCAACGCTACGACTACTTCACCTACTACTACTACTACTACGTGATTTCTACTACTATACTACCTGACGGCTACTACTACTACTACTACTACTACTACTACTACTACTACTACTACTACTACTACCACTACTACGACTACTAGTACTAGTACTACTACTAGTACTACTACTACTGCTACTACTACTACGACTACTACTACTACTGCTACTACTACTACTACTACTACTCATACTACCAGTACCACTACCACTACCACGACGACTACGACTACTACAACTACTACTGCTACTACTACTACGACTTTTACTACTACTACTACTACTATTACTACTACTACTACTACTGCTACCACTACTACTACTACTACTAATACTACTACTACTACTACTACTACTACTACTACTACTACTACTACTACTACTACTACTACGACGACTACGACTACTACAACTACTACTGCTACTACTACTACGACTTTTACTACTACTACTACTACTACTACTACTACTATTACTACTACTACTACTACTGCTACCACTACTACTACTACTACTACTACTACTACTATTACTACTACTACTACTACTACTGCTACCACTACTACTACTACTACTAATACTACTACTACTACTACTACTACTACTACTACTACTACTACTACTACGACTACGACTACGACTACAATTATTATTACTATTACTACTACGTGTCCTCTTACTACTACTACCGCTATTACTACAATTACTACTACCACTCCTACGACCACAACCACGACTACACATACTATTTCGACTACTACTACCACGATTACTACCACTACTACTACTACTACTGCTACGACTACTTCTACTAGTGCTACTACTCGTACTACCTCGACCACTACTGCTACTACTACTACTACTACGACTCCTACTATTACTACTACCACTGGTGGTAGTAGTATAAGTAATAGTAGTAGTAGTAGTAGTAGTAGTAGTAGTAGTAGTAGTAGTAGTAGTAGTAGTAGTAGTAGTAGTAGTAGTAGTAGTAGTAGTAGTAGTAGTAGTAGTAGTAGTAGTAGTAGTAGTAGTAGTAGTAGTAGTAGTAGTAGTAGTAGTAGTAGTAGTAGTAGTAGTAGTCGTAGTCGTAGTCGTAGTAGTAGTAGTACTACTAATGTTACACTGACTATTGACTACTAACTACCAACTACTAGTACTCCTACTACTACTGCTACTACAACAACAACTACTACTATTACTACTATTACTACTACTACTCCCACTACTCCTACTACTACTACTACTACTACTACTACTACTACTACTACTAGTACTAGTATTAGTACTAGTACTACTACTACTACTACTACTACTACTACTACTACTACTACTACTAAGTACTGACTACAAACCAGTAGCTGCTAATTACAACCTACATCCTATTAATTACTGAATACTTACTACTTGCTATATACGACTAGTTACTAACACAAGACTGTTAAATACGTTCGGACCACTATTCATTACTAAATTCCAACTACTACGTACTATCTACTAACTCCGAACTGCGAGCTACTAGCTACTACCAACTTGGTCGCCACATGAAGTTCAGGAGTTCCTTCTCCGGGCAAAAGAAGCCATACTGATGGGATATCTCTGTGCCAACTCAAGGGCAGCTCATTGCGATTTGCGAGAATCAGATTTGACAGAAGTGTGAGGATCTTCGATGAGGTCTCACACGGAGAACTAACCCTTTCCGAAGGATCCCCTGGAATCTACAAGGATTCGGTAGTACACCCGGAGAACGAACCCTTTTCCCGGAGAGCGAACCCTTTTCTAGGCGAAAGAACACCTCGTCCTCCAGAAGACATCCAAATACCCTGGAGAAGGCTCCCAAACATCTTCCCGAATGTCCTAGACACCCATACTCTACGAGGTCGGGACGTGCACCGCGCGAAACGAAATCCGCGGCCCCCTTGGAATCCCTTGGTGTGTGAGGTGTCCCCCTCCGCTATACCCCTACCCCAGAGGCCTGGCCCGCTAGATTTGGAGAGGGGGTGGGGGCTTGGAGCCCATGCGACAAGGAGCCCTTGAGGCGACGGGTCACGGGGGGGGGGGGCCTTGGGAACCCTTTTGACAATGTGCCCCAGTGGCGACCTGTCACGGGGGCGGGAAGGGCCCTAGAGGCCCGCTTGACAGTGGGGCCCAGTGGCGAAGGGTCACCGGGGGGAGCCCAGGGGCCTGCAGAATGCCCAGGGGCCAATCTGACAGTGGGCCTCGTTGTCAAGAGGCTACCAAAGGGGGGCCTCCCCCTTCCTCCGACGGCCGGTCCCGTCCCCGGGGGCACTTGACAGTAGACCCCAGTGGCGACGGGTAACAAAGGGGGGGGGCCTTGGGAGCCCATCTGACAATGGGCCGCAGTGGCAATGGGTCGCTGGGGACGGCCCTGGGGTCCATGTGACAATGGGCCCCAGTAACGAAGGGTCACCTGGGGGCCCTGGGGGCCCCATGCGTCCACCCACATGCCGAACGTAGCCGACGAGATCATACCCGGCGGCCCCCTGGCGGGGCCATCAGGCTGCGTGGGCCAGGCTGTTCTGCTCCCTGTGCCAGTTCCAGTTTCCAGTCTCTGCTCCCTACTGTAAACTGTTGCTGTCCGCGCGAGGCTCACTGGTCAAAAACGAACAAAGTTTCCACAGCGGAGTCACGTTGCCTGAATTTCGGGTGGGGGGCCTAAGAAACATCAGAACATACCTTGTTTTACAGATTCGCGGCCCCGAGGCCACGATTCCTCGTAACTTACACCACGTTTGCGTTAAGCAACTTCGCTCCTTCGTCAACTACGGCAGGTTCGCGCTCCCCGAGGCCACGATCCCTCGTAAACTACGCCGCGTTCTCGCACCCGATGCCACGATCCCTCGTAAATTTCGCCATGCTCGCGCTCCCGAGGCCACGATCCCTTGTACATTACGCCACGCTCACGCCCCCGAGGCCATGATCCCTTCGTAGGGTACGCCGCGTTCGCGCCCCCGAAGTCACGATCTCTTGTAAACTACGCTGCGTTCGCGCCCCCACAGCCAAGATCCCGTGTAGACTACATCAGGCTCGCGTCCTCGAAGTTACCTTGGGTTCGCGCCCACGGGTCCACGACCCTAGGTGAATTACTCCAGAACCGCGCCCCCGAGGGCACGATCCCCCGTAAGTTACACCACCTTCGCGCCCCCGTGGCCACGATCCCCCGCGAATTATGTCGCATTCGCTGCTGCGAGGCCACGCGTGGTAAATTGCGCCACGCTCTCGCCCCCGAAGCCACGATCGCTAGTCAAATACGCCAAATTCGCACCCCCAAGGCCACGACCCTTTTTTGTCCGCCACCGTGCCGCGAGGCACGAGTTGGAGTGCCCTCAGGTCCCATTGCAGTCCCCAGTCCTCAATCGTCAGGATTGAATATTCAAAACGCCCGGACCAACTTCTCAAATTTCCGGGGCGGCTTTGGGGGCCGTCGAGCACGCTGTGGGAACCCGAAAATCGTATACGCTGAAAAATGTACGCTTCCTGAGGGAATGGAGCGATTTTGGCTTCTTGGGGCCCTCTTGGGGGACCTCATGGAGCCCTGTTTGGGCGTCATGGGGTGCTCTTGGCTCTTCTTGAAGCCATCTTGGCGCGTCTTGGAGCGCTCGCGGGGCGTCTGGAGCGGTCCCGAGCCGGTCCTAGCGTTCTCTGGAGATGCTCGAGAATCCTCAGGGTCCCGCCGGGGCGCCCTGGGGCCGCCTGGGGCCCCCATGCCACGCCAGGGCTGTCGTTCCAGGCCAACCCCTGGCCTAATGCATGCATGCATGCATGTATGTATGCATGTATGCATGCATGTATTTATGTATGCATGCATGTATGCATGCATGCATGCAAGTATGTATGCTTATATGTCTGTATGTATATACGCATGTATGTATGTGTGTATGTATATAGGTATCTGCGTCCCATATGCATATATATATATATATGTAGGTATAGGCATACATTTATACGTGTATGCCTATCCGTATATACGCATCGAACCTCATGTGTGCATAACTGTATACATCCCCCCTTAGGAGAGAGAGAGAGAGAGAGACAAACAAAAACAAACAAGAGAGAGAGAGAGAGAGAGAAACAAAAACAGAGAGCCCGCATGCACGCACGCATTAGAAAAGACATGGGCCCTTCTTGCCCGAGGAGCTTCTGAGGTATGTCTCCATGCCTACCCTGGACACCAGTCGGACGGACCTCTCGAGCCCCACCCGGCAGTGTCGGCGAACGTGCCCGCCAGATATGGCAAGCAACAAGCTGGGTGGCAAGGGCGCCGGCGAGCACGAGGCGGGAAAGGGGGCAGCGGGGCGCGGGAGAGTCGTCGCTCCTGCCGAACTGCAGCACGCTGCCGGCCCCGTGCGTCTTGGGAGTCTGCTCCTCTTGGCGGCACGCACAAAGGGGTAGATCGGGCATGTCTTCCTACAAGGGGATTTTTGGGGAAGAATAATAGACAGTTAAAAATATCACAACACATGGAGAAATAATCAATCATTTTATTGTTGTGACTATTTTTGAATATTCCTCCAGTAGAGAGACATGCCCGGCTTAAACAAAGGGGTATGTGGGAACGGGCGAAGGCTCCTTAGAAGGGTGCTGCTCCTTAGCATGCGCCATCCTCATGTGGATAAGGCGCGCGCCTTCCAAGAGGCAGGGGTGCTTCCAAGGAGCCTTCCTCCCTCCCCCTGCCCCCCCGCGCGCGCCTTCCAAGAGGCAGGGGATGCTTCTCAGGAGCCTTCCCCCCTCCCTCTGCCCCCCGCACGCGCCTCCCGAGAGGCAGGGGGTGCTTCTTAGGAGCCTTACCCCCTCCTCCCTAATCATTACCCCCGTCTGCGCGTGGCGGATCCTCGTAGCGGAACTTCCCTGGCCCCTCGTCCCAGCTGCCGGAGCCCTGGCGAGGGCGAGGACGCGGGCGACGGGCGCGGCTTGAGGGGCGCGGCGGCGAGGAGCGCCGTGGGCGCCTGCCTGCTCGCGGCTAGCCCCTGGCCTGATCCCTCTCCTGATCCTCCTCCCTCCTATCATCCCTCCTCCTCCTCCTTCTCCTCCATCACTCTCCTCCTCCTCCTCCTCCTCCTCCTCCTCTTCCTCCTCTCTTCCTCCATCACTCTCCTCCCTCCTCCCCTCCTCCTCCTCCTCCTCCTCCATTACTCTCCCCCTCCTCCTCCTCCTCCTCCCTCCTCCTCCTCCTCCTCCTCCAACACTTTCCTCCTCCTCCTCCTCCTCCTCCTCCTCCTCCTCCGCGCGCCAGAGGAAGGATTGACCATTGTGCTAACAGAAGGGACGCCAGGAGAAGCGAATGGGCTTTTCTGGCCGCGGCGAGAGCCTGAGCCACAGACGGGGTCCCCGACCCAGATCCAGGGAACGGCCCGAAAGCCAGAGCCCTCCTGAACCCCGCGTGGTCCTTATTTCCGCGTCTTGCCTGTCCGAAGCGCGGGGGGGCTCTTCTGATCGGTCGACCGGCGGATCGACGCCCCCATCAAGGCCCGTTCCGCGGACCAAGGCGTTCTGGCGTGCGGAGAGAGGGCGCGGGGAGGGGGGCGTTGATCAGGGAGACCGGAGTCCAGACGTGAGATGTCCTGGCTTTTCAATATGAGGTCTCCGCAAGGCCCGAGCCTTTCCCCGGGGCTCGCTTTTCATCCCCAATAATTTTGCGACTGCCCTGGAGCCTGGCGGGGCCCCCCGGGGGTCGAGAACGGTCAACAACCTTCCGTCGTGATTCTTTCTCGACGTGAGCATGCCTGGGACAGAGGAGGGGCCGGGCGGGCTGGCACAACAAGCGAGAGCGTCGAAACCGCCGTGTGCAAAACGGTGCATTTAGGAGGAGGCGCGGCGGTATGGGCTAGGCGGCAGAAGGGTCAGGTTGATTGGCCAGATCGAGCGAGTCAGAGGGCCCCGCCGCCTCCTCCTCCCTCTCCTCCTCCTCCGCCTCCTCTTCCTCCTCCTCCTCCTCCTCCCTATCCTCCTCCTCCTCCTCCTCCTCCTCCCTCTCCTCCTCCTCCTCTCCTCCTCTCTCTCCTCCTCTCCTCCTCTCTCCTCCTCCGCCTCCTCCTCCTCCCCCTCCCCCTCCTCCTCCTCCTCCTCCTCCTCCTCCTCCTCCTCCTCCTCCTCCTCCTCCTCCTCCTCCTCCTCCTCCTCCTCCCTCCGACAAGGCAGTGGCCACCCGTGGCGCAGCTTGGCGTCGGGACCGGAGAACGCGCGCCCGCCTCGCAAGCGGAGGGCGCTGGCATCGCGGGCCCGCCTCTCTCGCGCCCTGGCATAGAGAGCAGGCTGCGCGGTCCGCGCGGGGGCGGGGGCGGCACAGCTCTCGACGTGCGCGGCGAGCACGAGGCATGCGCCCCGGAGATCCAACGTATTGAAAACATCAAGACGGACGTTTTCGCAACTTTCGGCCTCTAAGGGCCCTCACCGGGCCCCGGGACCGCTAAACAACGACTCGGGATGAAACACCGGCCCTGGGGATTGGGTCGACCCTTCCGGGGACCCCGTATTGACAAAAATCACGATAGCGGATCTGGCGCCGCGCTGACACAGCGCTGGCATCCTCATTCGCAAGCAGTGTGGCGGTGGCGCGTGGGCCAGGTCAGCGTTTCGCCCGCTCTCGCGCGGCCACGCTGCCGCCGTCGCCCTCGTGCGGCTCGGCGGACGAGCCATGCGCCGCGCCCGCGCGGGAACGCCACTTCCGCGCGACAGGCGCACGGAGCTCGGGCGAGGGCGGCAAGCGGCCCACTCGCGCGGGCCAGCCAACATATGGCGAGCGAAGAGTGTGCGCCGTGTCGGAGCGGGAGCGCCGCTCTTGGGGCGGATGCTGCGCCGTGCCGCGGCGAGATCGTCCTTTTCGTCCGCTCGCGCGTCGACGAAGGTGGATGCGACAGATGTGGCCCGCACCTCGGCGGGAGCCCGGGCCTCCAGAAAAGTGGGCGCGGCGCCAGGGGCGAGAGCGACAGTTCGGCCGGTGGCGCGAGGTGTGCGCCCTGTCACACTCCTGCCGCGCATCTTGCAACATGGACGATGTAACGTCCATGCTGGGACGGAACAGACAGACCTCGCATGGCTTAAAAATGGGTTGGCCCTCGGCCAGCTGGGTGGCAGAGTGTGTGGCGGGAGGAGGCGGAATCGCAGGTTGCGACAAGAGTAGGAGGCGAGCACGGCACTCCGACCCCATCCAGCCATGGGCAGAACACGGGGGTGGGAAAGGCGAGGGTGCGGATGGCCGAGGCTGCCCAACGTGTGGCGGGTTCCGAACACCCTGAACCAAAGCGGTGCCACTTCTTCGGGCTGCATTTTGTTACCTCCGCGGGCTGCTGCCGGCGGCAGTAGTCTCGCTCTGCTTCCGCCGCCCTCCGCCGAGGAAGAGCTGCCATCCCCTTCGATCCTCGAATGTGAGAACTCTTCTGGAGCACACCGTGTGCAGACACGCTGGCCGCTAGCAGCCTAGGAGTGGTGGTAGATGAGGCTTGTTCATTCGACTTCAACGTGCTCAGCGTGCTGTGCGTAGCGGGGTGGAGGGTGTGTTGTCGAGGAAGCGAGAGCGGAGAGACTGACTGCACAAGGAAAAAGGCCGAGGAGCACGGACACAGCGGGGGAGGGGGAGTGGAGTATTACTGTGATTCAGGCAGAGGGCAAGGACATGGGTTCCAGCGGAGATTGGGCAAGAAGCGGGATGATGAAGTACAGTCGGGGCGTTGACCTAAGGAACCCTGAATAAGGAACAGGGCCCCTTTTTTCCATAAGTTGACCTTCGATTTCCTGACGAAAACATAAGGACAACCTGAGGCAAACTGTGAAACACTTAAGGAGCGCGGAGCCCCTTCCCAACGAAAAGGGTTCCTTCTTCAGGGCCCCGACTGTATATCATATCCGGAGGGCTTGTGATGGAAGTACGTGCGGCCATGAGTATGGAGGCGGAGCAGGCGGTGAGAGTGAGGGGAGGAGAGGAACCTCTGCGCACGTCAACCTTGACCAGCGGGATGCGGACAGAGCTCGCGCCGCGCCCGAAAGGAGCGCAACCTTCTTGCACATAGTTGGCCATGCACGAGCTGTCCCGCCTGAGCACACTCCTGAACCAAATGCTTTACTCCACTACAGACGGGGGAATCTTAATCCTGACGCCACACCGAAGCCCGAACAGCAACCGAACAACTCATTCATGTTGTTGCGCCCTAGCCACTGATGCGCCCCAAACGTCCGTTCCCCGTAGAATCATAGCAGTCGTCTGCAAGTCCAAAGCTCCGTGGATCCAACTCCTTGTGGGTCCATTGTCAACTAATTCGTAAGATACGTTCGCTCCAACGAAATAAATGGATCCATGCTGCCTCCAGGCAAATATGGTTAACATAAGCGACCAGTATATCAGATCTACGAGACACTCGCACACATGTAATGTCATTCAACTGGCCCCACGAAGTTCAGAAAAAAAGAAGGCATAACTTTCGGCCTGAGGATGTATGTGATGTGGCGTTATCAGGAAGGTGTGATGTGATGTTGAACTCCGGAAGACAAAAAAACATCTGGCATTCATGAACAAATGCGAACCCAGTCCGTTCTCACTAGCGACCGGCTGCAAGCCGGGGTTGGCGTCAAGATCCCCTGATCCATCCCCCTCCTCTCCCTCCTCGGTGCTTCTCCATGTGCTTGCCTTCCTCCGCCTCCTCCTTTTCTGCTCCTCCCTTCCTCCTCCTCCAGCAGCCTGCGGGTCTGCTTCCTAGAAGCAACCGCTGCCTTGCTCCTGGCCGTAGTGCCCGGCCACCAAGCAGCGGCCGCCCCCAGGGGGGGGAGGAGTTGCGCCAGCCCAGGCCTATAGCAAGGCCTAAGGCAGGGCGTATCCAGGAGCGTGGTCGAGATCAGCTGGATGACCTCCTCCTCCTCCTCCTCGTCCTGTTCAAGATGACCAGCAGCGTGGTTGCCGGAAAAGGTTTGGGAACGTGGCCTCCCACTCGGTGACTCGGTGATGCGGACGAGTTCGCCGTCGAAGCGCAGATGCCCTCGGACCCCCCCGCCCCGAAAACGTTCGCGGGCCAGGTGGGTTATGAGCGTGGGCCGCGTGCCACCGTTCGTAGGGCCGCCGAGCGGGTTGGCCTCCACCACCGCCCACCTCCTCCTCCTCCTCCTCCTCCTCCTCCTCCTCCTCGTCCTCTTCCTCTCCTCTCCTCCTCCTCGTCCTCCCTCCTCCTCCTCCTCCTCCTCCCTCCTCCTCCTCCTCCTCCTCCTCCCCTCCTCCTCCTCCTCCTCCCTCCTCCTCCTCCTCCCTCCTCCTCCTCCCTCCCTCCTCCTCCTCCTCTCCTCCTCCTCTTCCTCCCCCTCCCCCCCCCCCGCGTGGGGAGCGCACGCAGCCCGGCCCGGGCCGGGCCCCGCACGCCTCGGAGAAGACCCGGAAGTGCTCCAGGAAGCGCATGTACTAGGGGGGGGGCAGGGCTCGTTTCTTGTGCTGCGGCCCGGGAGCATCGATCCGAGAGCGTGGGGCAGAGTTGGAGAATGTGTATCCCCTAAGCCGACGGGGAGGAGGAGGCAGACGAGGAGGAGGCGGAGGAGGAGCAGGAGACGTTGAACGTTGCCGGAGAAGACCCGGAAGTGCTCCAGGAAGCGCATGTACTATGGGAGGGCAAGGCTCGTGTTTGTGCTGCTGCCCGGAGCATCGATCCAAGAGTGTGGGGCAGAGTTGGGGAATGTATCCCCTAAGCCGACGGGGAGGAGGAGGAGGAGGAGGAGGAGGAGGAGGAGGAGGAGGAGGAGGAGGAGGAGGAGGAGGAGGAGGAGGAGGCGGAGGCGGAGGAGGAGGAGCAGAAGACGTTGAACGTGGCCGAAGAGCGGCGGGTTCCACAACCGCGCGAACCCCGTAGGAAGGGTCAGACCCGCATTTTGGTGCTTGACGCACGGCGGAGGAAGAGGAGGAGGAGCAGAAGGAAGAGGAACAAGAGGACGAGGACGAGGAGAAGGATGATGATGCTGCTGATGATGCTGCTGATGATGTTGATGATGATGTTGATGCTGATTATGATGATGATGACGATGACGATGACGATGACGATGATGATGATGATGATGATGATGATGATGATGATGATGATGATGATGATGATGATGATGATGATGATGATGATGATGATGATGATGATGATGATGATGATGATGATGATGATGATGATTAGGAGGAGGAGGAGGAGGAGGAGGAGGAGGAGGAGGAGGAGGACGAGGAGGAGGAGCAAGAGAAGCAAGGTGGGGGAAAACGAGGAACGGGAGGAGGAGTTATGGTATGGCATGTGTTGGCCATCAAGGCGGTGCGACAAAAACCTAACCCCCCAAACAAGGATCCCTCCTCCGAGCCGGGATCCTCGGCGGCCTCGGCCGAGCGCTGGATCTCACGGCGACCCATCTCTCGCACGGCCAAAAAGTCGCCAGCTTCCAGCCCAAGGGCTCGGAGGATGTCATCCCGACCCCCCCGCCCCCGCCCCACCCCGCGTCGATCCGGCGCGGGCGGGAGCCTCGGCGGCCTCCAGATCGCCTGGCTGGCAGGGGCTGGCCCGCACTGCTGGCAGCACCCCTGTGTGGGCGCTCCCGCTTCCAGTGCTCTTGACGCTCACTCCGTAGTGGAAGCACGCGCCCTTGGAGATCCCGCGGGGCTGGTCCAGCCTCCCGAATCCCCCAAAGAGCCCCAAGAGGGCTCCAAGAGAGCCCCAGATAGCCCAAGATGGCCTTCAAAATGGCCTAAGATAGCCAAGCATGGCTCAAGATAGCCTCCGACAGCCCTCCAAGAGGCAACATGTCCAGGGCAACGTGCCGAACTGGCCGGCGTCGTCCTCCCTTCGGAGCAGACCGCCCCACAGCGGCAGCAACACAGGAGGAACACAGACCTTAGGATCCGTCCCCTGGACGGCGCACTGCAGCAGGAGGTGCGCCCGCGAGCGGGAGCTCGCGCGACAGAGCTCCTCCCGCCCAGACCCCGCTCCCGACTTCGCCCCCAGACCCCCTCCGTCCTCGGGCGGCTCCTGCTCAGGAGCAGCACCTGGCGCAGCCGCAACACGCTCTGGCCGGGCCGCCGCATGCTGATCCACGAGGCTGTCATGGTCGCGGTCTCCTGCCTCGATGTGCGCCTCGGCCGCCGAGGCGGCAGCCTCCCGCGCGGGCTCTGACGGGCCGCGCCACGTCTCGCAAAACAACTTGCACCGATGCCGTGGGCAGCCGCCCCATCGCTTGGCGAACTCGTCCGCCGACCTGCTGGCTCGGCGCTCCCACTCCGTGGCCTGTCCTGCATCTGCCTGCGCGCGCGCGTGCAGTGCGCGCGGGTCGCGTGCACTTCCGAGTCCTAAGAACGAAAGGCTGCCCAAAACTGGCCCCAGAGGTGCGCTCGAACGTTCGACGGTCCAGCCCCGCCCCCCTCCCCACGTCGGACCGTGCTGACGGTCCGGGCACAATCCACGTACAGCGTGATAAAGGGGGAAGGGCCACTTGCGTTAGCCTGCTCAGCGCAAACTTCTCGGCATCCCTGGCCTGTTGCCTGGGTGCCGCAGGCCTTGGGGCTGGCCCGTGGGCCGCCGCCTGCAAACGGTCGAATTTGTCTACCTGTACGACGGCCCAGCCAGCTCCGGCCATGCGCAAGCACTCTGCCCACAGGGCGCAGCCGTCTGTAAACGGGAGCCCGCTCAGAAGGCCCAGCGCGGGCCTGTTGTGCCAAAAGATGGTGACCTCGGGCTTCTCGGGGACCTCCAGCAAGACCCTAGGGCTCGGGAAAAGGCCACGCGCGAACCGCTCTCCCTTGTCGAAGCCCAACGCTTTGACCCTGCGGGCTCCCCGCTGCAAGAAGACCGAGACACCTTCCCTACGCTGCGCGCTCAACGCTGGGCACTCATAGGTTCTGTGCCACAGCGACCCATCAGGGTCCCCGCGCCGAAGGCATGCCTCAGACTCCGACAGGCCGTGCTTGTAGAGCCTGCGTTGGGACCAGTGGGCCCCCGATACGAGCGACCTCAAGGACCTCTGGTGCCTCCTCGTCCAGCCTTGTACCTCCGGGACCTTGCGCAGGAGGGGGTTGAGGGCCTTCCAGAACAGCGGGGTGCACCACGAGGCTGCGGTCTCCCTGACTTTGAGACCTTGGCGGCGACCCGACGCTCGAAGGACCCTTTCCTCTGCCGTGGCCTTGACGAAGGCTGGAAACATCTTTTTCAACTGGATCTCCTCGCCCTCATTCGCGACGAGAATGTCGCGCGCCTGAAAAGACCAGCCTATCCTCTCCAAGCTGGGGGCCGCCACTTCCGCAGGTGACGCCGCCGCCGCCCGCGGAGAGGACAAGCGCGAAGTCCTGCTCTGCGCCGCTTTCAAGCATGCCTCTAGCGCACCTAGCTTGGGATAGGACTCCCGGGCGGGCTGTGCCCGCATGAACACGACCTGGTCGATGTTCAAGATCAGCGGGTCCATCCTGGGACCTTCCTTGTAACTGCGCAATCGAAGGCCGGTCGTCGTGCCCCTCGGCCCGCGGCGACCCAAGCTGCCTGCAGCGCCGAGACGCAGCCCTTGTCTCTGAGACGGCGGGGCCCCCGTGATGCTGGGCCCCCGCAAGGCCGAGGCCGTTGGGCCCGCCCGCTGGACCCAAACAGTGCTTGCCCCAGCTCGCCGAAGATGCTGTATCTTGTTCGATCGTCTCCGTGCTCCTTCCCACCTCGCCCTGTTGACCCCGACCCCCCGACTGGCTCCGAGCGAAGCATGAGTCCCCAGGTTCCTCGATGAGGTGGCGCGAGCACTGGGGGGAATGTCTCAAACCTGCTGCGGCTTCGCATCGAGCTCGGCGCTGCTGCACAGGTACTTCGACTTGGCTGAAAAGGGCAGTCCGAACTGCTTGAAACTGGTCAGCAGCGACATCGCGCCCCCGGCCAGCTGGCCCGCGACCGCGTCGGCGGGGGCGACGATCTGCAACGCGACGTCGTCAATCGCGCTGTAAATTGCCAGCTGCGGGCGCCCAAACTGGGCCAGAGACGGAGCGCTCAAGATGCAAGAGTTGTTGCTGCTAAACATCCTGCTATCACTCCTCCGTTCGCCTTGACCTTCCCCGAGACACACCCTCCATAAAATAAAACTCTCTCTGCAACATGCATCGTGCGCAACCCTCGCAACCGGCGTCAGTTGAAACGATGCTCCACCGCTGCTCAATGCAGGTCGACATGTGTGATGTGCTCGTAGAGTTTCTCTAGACCGAGCAGTGCTGTCGCCGTTGGCGTTCCCGCGTTGAGGCCGAGGTGCGCGAGCATTTTGTGCGCCCAGCTCGCGCGCTCGCACGACATGTCGGGGCCCGCGCCCCAGAAAAAAGGAAGCTGGATGCTCTACTTCCCGCCGCTTGCAGAGGTGTTGACGGTTCTTCGACCATACTTTCATGAAGGAACTCAACAGGCCAAGTGGCCTGACCCCCCATCTGGCTTATCCGGGAAAATGATGTTGGTCAGCAGGTCAGACAGGACCTCGGGGGCCTCCTCGGACCCGTGCAAGATGCCCAAGAGCCGCATGTGATGGGCCTCTGGCAGCTTCAAGACAAGCCTCGGGTGGAACGAGTCCCACCCAGGCCCAGCCCCCTCGGCGCACCCACGGCAAAGATGAAGGAGACTGTCTAGCTCAATCCTCGGGGGCGCGTCCCCTCTGGTGCCCCAACGAGACGGGTGCTCATGTGAGGCTCTACGTTCCTGAAACCACAGGGGCATCCACCGGCCCACCAAGGCCTGAACGGCCTCTTTCCCGTTGACAGGTAATTCAACATCCGAGGCAGGGATCGTAAACTGATAACTGCGATCGGTGAAAGCCTGGCGAGAGTGTCCGCGCGCGGCCTTCCCCACCGCGCCCCGCCGCTCCCTTCGCCCACCTCCGCCACCTGCTGAGCCCCTCCTTAGTATCAGTCTTCCTCAACTCCTCGACGTATCCATCATGCTGCTGGAGATGCCCTGTACACCTCTCGCCGCTGGCTTCGATGGGGCCGATGTGATCTAGGACGAACTGCTGGTCCAGCTGGCCGTCCCGGCAGAGCAAGACGGGGGCCCTGCCCTCAAGTCTGTAGTGCCGCAGCTGATTTCGAGCTCTGCCTGCCGCGCCTAACCAGCAGCTGGAACCTGGAACATTGGCTGCGCTAGCAGCTCGGGTGGCCAGCGCCTGGAAGGACATCCACGCTGTGGTCCGCTCTGAGTACCTGCGTCGATCCTTCCGAGCCCAGACAGTCTCCAAGGGGACCTTGACCGTCTTGGGCCCCTGGGTCCTCCCGCAACTGGCGTCCCGAGAGTTCCCGTCGATGTCGAAAAAGCCCACCGGCCAGTTTTCGGCTCTCGTGGTCCACTCCTTGATATTGTAGCCCAGTGAGGCGCCGCTGAGGCCCCCGAGCTCCCAGGACCAATCCTCCTCCTTCAGCTCGTTCCTGGGTCCCACCGC